TTACTCTTTGATTCTTCCTGCTCTTGTGCAAGTTAAAATTAGCTGGTTTAGGGATATTATTAAATGCTTCTTGTGGCTTCCCCTTGGTTTCAGTAACAGAGTTTACATTACACGGATGGAGACAAAAAGTCATCTAAATGCATATTGAGGCTGGCAGTGATCTAACGTAACAGGGTAGATGTTATGATTTGCTCTGTTCAGGTGAGACCTTTATTCTTTTAAATATATTTACTCATTTTTCTGTAGATATAAATGACACTTGCAGAAGGCAGGGGGTGTTGCTTGATAGTTTAGGTTTTGTAGTAAAATTAATGATTTAATCAAGCCTCTGACAACCTAGCTGTATCTCTGCTCTGAATTTCAGAACAGAGGAAACGCTTTTGGTGTTGTAGTTCATTCTGCTTTGTTGGCTTTTCTGCCTTGGAGCTGGTGTACCACATGTCCATTTTTTCCTAAGCTGTATTTGAACTCTTCTTCCTTTCAGATGCTTTGTAACCTAACTACCCTCAAATGAAGCGGTTCACTTATTCCATGGGCAGTCCAGGCACAAGTGTGAAATCCCTTCAAACATTATGGCTTTAACTTTTGTTATAGGGGACATTCCATTTGGAGGAATAAGTTGCATTTACCTTCTGCATCTGAGTTTTATGGATTATATATAAATGTTGTTTACTGTTAAAATGGTGCATGGTCTTTCTGTAGTGTCTGTGTTTTATAGAGTAGTTTAAAAAGAAAACCACTAAAACGATGTTACTACTGGGTGTCTGATTGCCAAGTTAATCTCTTATCACAAGTCCCATTGATCTTCTGTTTGAGCAGCTGAGAGTCTATTTTATGTATAGCGATCTTTCATGAAGTTTATTCCTGGTAATAAAGCTAACTGGGGTGAGTGCCAAGCTATTCTCAGAGGCAGTCCGCTCTCAACAAGAGGAGTATTTTATTTTGTTAGATGGGGTTATTGTTTGGGTATGTACTTGTGGCAGAACTAGTGAAATTGCTAGCGAGTGAGTCAAACTAGGTTCAGAGGTGTACTCTTACTGGTATGAAGTTAATGGCATTACTGCACAATAGACATTCATATCTGACTTTTAATATGATGCCCAGAATCATGTGCATTTTCTACTTATTACTGTATGGTATTACTAAATTGGATTGTTAATCTCTTCTAGGGCAGGGCAAAAACCTTAAAAAAAACACACTATAAAACAATTAAAAAAAAAATCTCCACCCTAGAACTTTACATTTATTAAGTGCATTCAATTTTGTTATGTGTAAGAGGAAGTAATTTTATTTCACAGAGCACAACTGTTGGTTTATCTAAAATTATGTTGTTGTTCAGATTTTTGAAATCTTTCCTCTAATAGCCTGCATTTATGTAGAGGTACTTAAAGTGTCTTTATACCAAACATACATGTAAATTAAAAAAATGTATTTCAAAATATTAGTAGTTAACTTTCAGCAAAGTTACTTTTCATAAAGTAAAACTTTACTTTTTGTAAATCTTACTTAAGCTTTATTCCAGAGTTTCTGAATTATTACTGTGTATTCAGAAGAGTTCAACAGATGGCAGGGCACATGTTCTTCTATGCTAATTATTTTGTTAATATTCATATAAAAACGGCAGTCTTACTGCTATGCACAACAATCTATATAAATACCTATAGTCTTATGGCAGTTTTGGGAAGCAGTGGTGGTTTTGTATGCAGCTCTGTGCAAATGTTTGACATTGCAAGGACAGGTTACAGGTCTTGATCTGTTCCTCTGCTCTTGTCTGTAAGCTAAACTCCTGGGGGTTGGCATCTACCTTCTAGGAAACCCCTCTCAAGCAATCTCCTCTCAGCCTGTAGTTGCCGTAAATTTTAAATTACTGGCCAATATCTTATCTTTGGTCTTCTCCTGCTCTGATGACCTGCGTATATGGGTGTACTTACAATTCCTCATAGATGCAAGGGGTAAGCACAGATGCAAAGGATGACAGGAGGGCATGGAAGTGCCTGTAGTGCACACAGCACCCTTGGGATGGTGAGGGAATGGGCCAGGATTTGCACTCCAGGTATCGGAACACCAAGATGAAGGAGTTGGCAGGATGCTGGGAATTCAGCGGGAGGGAGGATAGCGGAGGGATGCAGTGTGCCCTGGTCTGCGCTGTGCGTCAGGCTGCTGGAGGGAATAAAGTGCATAAATCTCTAGTAACGTCACGCTTCTCCTTTCATGCTCAAAGCAGGTACTGATGTCAGGACTGCCTGATAGCTCTTATTGAAATCAGGGGGGCAGGTCACTGCTCAGGCTGACTTATCAGGCTCTTAGCAGGTTCAATCAGCCTAGCTGCATCCATTGCTCTTTACATCTTTGAAGAGATTTCTGTACCATCAATCATAGAATTTAACCTTCCTTTTAAATTTCTCCTTGAAATCAGGAGAAGAGCACACAAAAAAAAATCTGGAACACACTTTCATCATGCAATAGCACATTACTATCCAAACAGAAAGGATAAATTATTATATACCATATAAGCAAACTGGAAGGAGAAAATGTCTATTATTTCAGCTAATATTAACTATTTGTAATCACGGTGGGAACAAACGTTTTTTCCTATTGCTCCTTACCTGTCATTTGAACTTACTGATTTGTTTTCCAATAATTGGCCCTGCTTGTCCTGTGGTCATGTGGATGGCGGCTTGGTGTGAAGATCTTTGCATGATAAAGCAGAAGCAGCCAGGCTGTTGTACTATTGTAATCATTAATACCACATGGTAATCATGGTAGGTTATAGAGCATCAAACTGTACAGATTTGTAATTGCAACTCATGATGTCCTTACATCATGGCTTCTCTGAGCTGAAAAGTATCAGTGTGTCGGTAATTCAAGCATAAAATAAAATCCTGCATTTTAAAGTATTTAGAAAGCCTTGTGAGACTTCTGCATCTCCTGGCACATAATTAAATTGGGCAGTGTTCTCTGGCAACTTTGCATTATTCCTTTAAAAACATGTATTCTTGTCTGAAGCATAGTTCTAGAGCCAAACTTCAGGTTGGTTTGGGGTTTTGGGGGTTTTTTGGGGGGGTTTTGTTTGTTTGTTTGTTTAGTTTGGTTCCCCCCCCGCGTTAATTCTTTTCATATGGAACTTTTAATGTTGGATTTAAAACTCGGTGTTAGCCCACTCTAATTTTGTTTATATTGGCTCAAATGTGGATTTCGTCTAAATAAGAAATATTTATTGTATAAACAGCTTACACAGAAATTTTGAAATAAAATACTGAAATGTTTGAGCTAATTAGAAATATTTCTAAGTCTAGTATAGAACGGGCAAAATTGCACTTTTGCTGGAGTAAAGTGTGATTTGTTTTTCACTGGCTCAACGTTGCTTTTATCATACGTGATGTGTGACAGTGGTGACTGTAGATGAGAAATAATCCACTTGAAAGAAATAGTTATTTCTTTAAAATAGGAAAGCTTGGACTTAGCAACTGATCAGCAATATGCTGATCCACTGTACAGCTTTATTACTATGTAGTAGAGAAAACCCATGTATTATCACGAAGCCACTGTGTTGGATCTGTCTGGGACTTATTTAGCAAGTAAGAATGTTAATTTAGTGTATACTGGCTAAGATAACTAGTTGTCTGGGGGGTCAAGGTACTGACTTCAGAGGCATTTCTGAACAAAGATGTTGCAGTTGGTGGGTGGATGGCACTGGTCTCAGCTGTTGTATGAGCTTGCATAAATAGTATCATCTCCACTTTAATCTTTCGGGTGTTCAGAGGTAGTGTGCATATTTCTGTTTAACCCCTGGACACTTGCTGGCATGCGTGACCCTTTAACAATTCCTATCCCTCTGTCCATCCCTGGCACCTTGGCTCCAAACAGTCTGGGAGGAGAGCCAGTAGTTTTGAAGTTTTTTGTTAAGAACATCTCTTTAACAAAAAGTGTTTTCATTTCATTGGTATACAGTTTCTATTGTGCTTGTTACAGTATGGCACGCTTCTGAAGTACTTCTTGCATCTCCACTGTACAATATTTACTCCCCTTTGAATATAATCATCAGTTAAAAAAAAAAAATATTAAAACTGGTGTTGATGGTTACTGGACTTTGGCATCAGGAAAAAAAAGCTTTTTTTTAATTTCAAAAAACAGCCACGAAGGCTGGACCAGTGTGTTTCATAAAGGAAAGTTGGCTTTTAAGTTGTGTTTTAGGATAAGCATTTGATTTACCTTACCTTAAATTTTGAGAATGAAAAAAATACTTAAACCTTCAGTCGTCATGGATCTGTTTCTCCAAAATTAACTTGCCTTTTTCTCACCAGTTTTTATATTGCTTCAGAGACCTCATTCCAATAGAGTAGTTTCAAGGGTTCTTTCTGAGGCTTGGGGACGTTGTGCTTTGGAGGGAAGTATCCAAAAGCTTTCAAGCATCAGGGCTTTCTGCGTATTTCTCTCCTTTTTTTTGATGGGGGAGATGGAAAAGATGTAGTACACAGTGTATTGCAGGTGGTGTTTTTCACTAGCTTTTATCACTTTTGGTGGTATAAATTTAATCATGATCAAATACCAACACGGTAAGTGTAGCAAATGCAAAGAAGGGCCAAAACAAACTTCAGAGTGACCTGAACTATTAGATCAATAGAAATAAGTGGAAACTGAATCTTCCCTGAAACTAATACCTGTAAAGCCCTGTGCACAGGGAGAGAAAGTAAACAGCAAGGCTGGGAAATGGATTGCAATAAGTTTGTTTCCATTTTGTAGTGATGATTGCACAGGTGCTAGTTTTATATTGCTCAAATACTTGAATTTCTTTTGTAAGGATGGAGTCTGGATGATCCCAGAGGTGGTTCACCCAAGGATCTATACTCCCGAAAGTCTGAGTTGTTCTAGTTTGTGTTAGAAGAAACTGAAGTAATAGTCGTAGATATATGCTAATAAAATAACTGAAGGACAATGTAGGTGCTCTTACGTTATTGGACACCTTTTAGTTATATTATTCCCCCTTATTTTTTTTATAGCAAACTTTGGCCTGTTCCATTTTAACGGCGTTGTTGAGCGAGTTCTCAAGTTCAAGTAAAACCAGCAACATTGGACTAAGCATGGAGTTCCATGGTAACTGTAAACGTATATTTCAGGTAAACTAGTTCTGTATCAATATATGTTACCTGTCTTTCTAAAATTTAAACATTGAGAAGCAGAAGTACTTTCTTGTGCCAGGTGCATTCAGGTACAGTGTGTGCCTAACAGCATTTAATAGGACAAGTATTATATTATAAATGCAGATACTGGCTACTTCAGGAAAGTTGATAATATATTTTTTAAAAACTTGTATCAAAAAGGTGCAATCCCTTTTTGCCCATTTTATGAATGTAGAGCTACAGATCTTTATGTGGTTGGACTCTTTAATTCCTTGGCTACCAATTGCAAACAAAACGAACACTCTGTGGAACAATGTTGGTCTTAAATATAGCTTTGGTTTAAAGCCAAGGAGAGCTATGTATTTAAAAATATTATTGCAGATGGTGTAGTCTGGTTGTCTCAGATGTATTGTTTGCCCAGGCAGAAATGTTTTTGTGAAGGCATTGCTTTAAACTGACTGTGGTGGAACAACTTACCAACTTTTTTTCATGCCAAAGACCAACCCTCTCCTCCACCAGTTGTTAAGAACATATTGTTAAGTTTTTCTTTTAATGACTAGCATTTATGAGAAGATTCTTTCCTTATTCTTTACAAACACAATCTATTAATTTTGGCAAAAGAGTGGGGGGGTTCTGACTTACAACTTCAGAATATTTTCTGTATTTTAATGAAAAATAGGGTGAAAACAAAATTCTTTTCTCTTTAGAAAAGTATTTCTTTTTAATCAACATTTTAATTAATGACTGAGAGACTCTATTAATATGTTGTGTTCGTCCTGACTGTAGGAGGACGATCTGCGGCAGATCTTCATGCTCACAGTAGAGGTACTTCAGGAATTCAGCAGACGTGAAAACCTCAATGCTCAGATGTCTTCAGTGTTTCAGCGTTATCTTGCACTAGCCAATCAGGTCTTAAGCTGGAACTTCCTTCCTCCAAATTATATCCTTTTAATGTCAGGCCCTTTATTTCAGCTGACTTGGGTCACTTCTACCAAGTGATAAGTAAAGTCTTTGTGAGGAGAGAAAAATGTAAAACTTGTAAGCCTTGCATTTAGTCCTTGATTTATGTTTTCTTCCATTAGCGCTCTTGGTCACCCCCGTGCTTGCTAACAGATGCTTACACACAGCAACTGTTGCTCTTCATTAAAGTTTAAAGTGTTTTATATAACAGGCAAAACTAGTTCAGCAGAGCAGCCCCCAGTTACGGGTTGATGGTCTATCTGTTTGGTGCAGGGGAGAGGAAAAGTGTAATATGCTGCTTTAGTGCAGAACCAAATGGTGAAGAGGTCTAAGCTCTGTTGACTTTTCATGTGGAGATCTGATCTGTCCTACTTTTCTCCCTCAGAGGAGAGGAGGGGGCAGGTAAATGCCCCATCATCTAGGAATGTGCCTGCTCAACCGACTCCCCGTAAAAGATCATGGAAATGTAATAGAACATGTAATAGGTTCTCTTTGGTCTGAAGAAAAAGTATTTGCTAGCTGAGAGAAGAAATCGCATCTCCTTTTTTTGGCAATACACGGGTGCCATTGCTTCCATTTTGACATCTTTGTGATGTGTGCTCATTATGAAAGTCCAGAGAAAGGTGGAGATGGAAAGTAAAAGAGGAAATGGGAATCAGAAGGAGTCTTAGTGAGGGAGAGAAGAAAAAAGATACAAAAATGCTCAGCCCAAAAATGGGCTAGAAGAATATTGTAGAAATAATCAATCACATTCTCCACTTAATAGAGGGTTAAGACAGCACTTGCAGTAAAACATTACAATGCCTCTTTTAAAAGCTAGACTGTCTTTAAGATGCTCAGGAAACTTTCCAAGAGCCAAATTTTTAAGCTGGTTTATAAACTTTTTTTTCTTAAAATCTTTTGAAATTGCTGCTAAGTTATACATACTGCAGGAGTCTGGATGTTGCCTTGAAATCCACTGTAAAGGATTTTATTTGTTTTCCTGGTTTGATGGTCAGAAGGAGATATCTCTGTGTTTCTGTTGTCTTTGATTCTGTTCATTATGCAGTGGGCAGCAAAAGTGAAATTTATTTGAAACTGGATATTCCTTGGTTCACATCTGTAAAGCAAAATACCAGTTATATTGTCTTTATGGAAGGTGCCACAGATTAAAAGTAAATATCCCACTCTTACTAATCAGTGAAGTGCTTTGGCAGGGGTCCAGAGAGGAATTTAGTGCATGTGCCTACAAGACTGAGACTGGAGTTAAATTATTGCATCTTATAAAAGTTTTTGGAAGGGGATTTGGGATTTGTAAGAACTCAAATAATATGTGGACACTTTTTTTTCCCGAAGCTGTAATCTTAAATAGAAAGGAAATGCTCTTGTGTTGTGCAGTGGTGGGTAGAGCTGGTTCCCTCTGAATTTTAGTCTTGCTCTGTGCAAACCTCTGATGTAGTCCCAAATACTGATGTTGTTACATTTTGAAAGTGAAGGCTCTAGTTCTTCATCACCATTTTATCCTAGGCTAAGGTTTGCAGTGGTGGAGCTAGGTATTTACAAGCAAGATGTGAAGGCTTGCGAGTTCCAGCTTTCATTTATAACTCTATATAATATGAAGTGATTTAGTGTATAGGTGCTGGTAAGTAAGTGTTACTTGAAATAGCTAAGCAAGCCATACTGCTGCTTAAGGTTAACAGTGTTTTCTGCTACTTGGGCTACTTGAGATATTACAGCTGTTAAACAAATTCTGGCCACTTCTGGAGATCAGATGGATCTTTAGTCTGAACCACCACAAGTGTTCTTACATGGCTCTATTTCAAATATTTTCATAACTTCTGCTACACTTGTTTTCCATCTTTTTGTTTTCTACCATTGGACATTTCATTTTGCTGTAAGAAGTACAGCACCAGCTTGGGTCTCCCTGCTTTATGTAGCAACCTGTTTTCACAGAAGTTGGAATGGCTTTAATCATCCTTGAGAGGTGCGGATCTTAGCTGACGAAGATTCAGTAATTATTGGGGTTTACAGCACCATGTTGATTATACTGTGGCATAAATATCTCTTCATTAAGACGACTGGTTTAAAAGTAAGTGTTGATTGTTAGCTCACGGGCAGTGAGATTTGACTGCAGTTTCTAAATAGGTAGCACATTACGTAAGAACGTAAGAATTGCTGTGTTGATTGATCAGTTGGTATTGTTTTGGTATCCTCTTTCCAAGTCTTGACAGTACATATGCCGAAGCAATGGGCATAAATTTAATACTCGAAGCATGTAGTAAAATGATCGATTGTATCCACAGATCCATCTTTTTTCCTTTAGTTGGTATTTCCCCTGGCAAGATAGTACTGATTTTCAGTATTCCCTGCAGCATAACAGTAATCTGCAGTATTTGTATGTAATCTTTAGCAAGGTTCTCATAACTTCAGAAAAAGGAAGTGGCATAAATGTGCATTAACTCTACGGGGACCATCACCAAGAGGCACATTATTTAAATCACTAAGTTGCGAGAATTACATCAAAACATGTAACTTCTCAAGAGTTCTTGTGCTGTTACAGGATAACTTAGTATGTGTTACGTTGTTAAATGGACAGTGCTGGCACCACTTGTAACAGAAGAGTTGTATTGTCTATTGCTAGCAAGAAGAGCTGGCACGAAAGATGCATTCTGGAATAGCCATCTCATTGGAGCAACGAAAGAAGAGAGGCTGGGACCTACCTACTTTTAAGTTGGAACTCAATAATTTTTGAGTGTCTTGGGATGTAGTGCCTGCAGTAGGAAGTGCCGGGCATGATGACCTAGGAGGCCTCCTTTCAGTCATGTGCAGTTTCTTCCATTTCATTTTCTAACACACAGGCAATCATCTATTGTTATTTTATCTGCTACCTCAAGGTATTAGTTCACCTGGTGTTTGCGGATGCCTCAGAGGTTTTTGGCAGTACTATTGGAAATGACAATAACATAGGATTCCTATTTTGCACTAAGAACGTATGGCAGTCTGTTGTGGCATGTTGGCTTCTGTAGAGTTTCTTTTTTCAGTGCTGTTACAGCACTGTTAAATGTTGTTTACTCGGATGGAACTAGTTTTAACTGCATCTTTTCTTAAATGGATATTTTGACTAATTAAGGAAGTACAGGTGATCAGTACTAAGAGGTACAGCCCTCTCCTTTACAAGAGTGCCTTCAAGGATCCCATACCTAGTACATTATCAGTGTCCAAATTCTCCAGTTAAGGAGCTGAATGTTGCTGGGCTTTAATGCACCTTGACGTGGACATATATGTCCTGTGGAGTCAGGATGTAATTATAATTTATATTCTTTTACCTCCAGAGATGTTTCTCACTTCTTCTTGACTTTGGGATTTATCTGTTCTTGGCAGCCACATTCTAATGGACTTGGGATGAATGTCCTCAAATGCGAAAGTTCTTAAACAGAACATAAGATTTTGTCCAGCTGTCTCCCATCTACAGAAAGGTGTTTATTGTCTGTCAATAGGAGCTGTCATAGAACTACTTATCCTTTATTCATTAAGGTATGGATTTTTACAGCTTTTTGTAAAGAGTGCTAATAGTACATGAATAAAGAGGAAATTGAGCTTTTGTTCTTGTTTTGGATTTGGTGCCTCTACTTGCTTGGAGGCAAGCTGGCAAATTTTCAAGTGAATGTAGAATAGGGGACTGGATTTAAAATACAGGTTACGTAAACCTAATGGGATGTGCTCCACTAATGTACATCGTTGCTGTTCCATTGAAATTAATGGTGCAATGGCAATTGTGTGAACTGACTGAAGCTTTTGTCTGATCTGAACACTTTTTTTTTTTTTTTAAGTATGTGTGTTCCTCGGCCACACGGTTAAAGGAACAAGCTCTTCATATCTCTGTTCTGAAAACATCTTTTATCCCTCAAGCCAGAATGAGATACCTCCTGGGAGATCCTGTGAACCATGTAGCTCTGCAGACTTTCAAGATTTGAACTTGGTCCAACCCAGATTGGTAGCATCTGTTATGCATAATGGAAGTGCATGAAAAACAGAAAGAATGCTCCAGAAAACTTGAGGTTTGTTTTGAGGAATGATTCAAGTTGGCATTGCTGCTGAAAAAGCATCCTGCCCTAGAACCTCCCAGGAGCATGATACTGAGCAGGGAACCACCTGGCTGAAAACTTTTTTTAGTAGGTTGAGGTCCCCAGTTTGATTTGTTGCGCAGCTACAGAAATGATGGAAACTGTACCAAGGGGCAACAACACAGACTTCCTTCAGCAGCAGGGCTGCTTTCCTTAGGTCTTGTGTTTGTTAGCAGCCTGGGATTATCCTGAATTTACTACAGCAGTCTGTCCTTATCTGAAAGATGAAGGGTTGGGATACTATCCTGGCTATTGTTTGGGATATAAAGAAAAATTCAATGTAACTAAAATAGCTGTATTTAAGAAAGTGCAAAAGAGAGCTGCATTTTACTTTTATCAGACTTATCACTCTTAGATGAAAACTGACCTGACTTTGAAATCCCCGGTGTTTAGAAATTATTTCTAGGGTACTATGTGTTTTCTTGACAATCCATTCTAGCAACTTTTTAAGACAAAGTTGGGCAAAACCAAGAAGATTGACAGATCCCCTGAATTTGGTCATAAGTGCACTAAACATGTTTGTATTGATACTGAACTTTTTAATAATTAGTGTTTCATCATTTGGGTTTTCCTGAATTAATTCTGAAATCAGTTTGCAACGAAAGAGCATCTTAAAAGCATTAATATCAGAAGAGGAAAAGAGATTAGTCATGACCCTTTTTATGAAGGGGAATGATAAAATACATAGGTTTTTTTCTCTTCTGCTCTCTTGCTGCAGTGGTTCTAAGTTTCCAGTTTTGCAGTGCTTTGTTACCAGCTTCTTAGATGGCAGCCAGTACAGTGGAAAGGTGTGACTCTTGAGCTGCATCTGCATGGCAGTCACTTCTGCATAGGTGCTTTAAGTGTAAGCTAGGCTTAAAGCGATTAGCTTGCATACTATTAGCTGTATAACTGTAGCAGCAAAATGTAGCAGGAGGTACAGAATCCACTTGGGTGGTCAACATGAGACTTGGTACTGGCACGGCTACACCGCTAGCGGCTCCGGAATTGGCCAGTTTTAAAATTAGCTTGGGTCTTCCTACACTTCCTACGCCTGTTGCTGCACGGGTGCAATCTGAATCCAGTGACTCCAACACAAAGTAGTTGTTTCATTCTCATGACAGTTAAGAATACCTGTGTTTAATAATTAAATATTTAAGCATACGTTCCTTCTCCTGAATGCTGGATGTGTTTGCTGAGAGTGTAAGTTACATAAAGGTTTGTGAAGCATTTCTCCATAGGGGGCAGCAAGCCTCTGCATCAGTTTTAGACAGTTGCTCCTGGACTCATCCCATGTGCTCGGCTGATTAGCTAGCAAGCCAGAGGAGGTCTTAAAAATCCAAATATAATCAGTATGTTAGCATTATAACACTGGGTGGCAGATTTCCAAGCAGTTACCTTTCTAATGCAGTTTTTATTTGTAAAATATAAGTCTAAGACCAACATAAAGGTCTCCAGAAATGTTCCAAACAACAAAGGTGAAGTGATTAAAATAACTTTTAAGAAAGATATTCGGGCCTTAGCACTCCAGGAGTTTTCCCTCTGTTTCTGAGTTGTTCTTCACTCCTGTGAACAGATTTGTGAATGGGGGTCTGGCAGAAGAAATCTCAGCTTTGATTTTTGAGTTCCTAATTTACTGCTTTGTGGAAGGGCAAGCCTTGCCTGTCTTAGGAAGGAGACTGTGGGATCCATTCTCAGATGCTGGAATTTGTGGGAAGTCCTGAAGTGAAAAGTTATAATCCCTTGTGGCTGCCTTAGGATATGAAATATTTTGATACTCATCTTCACCCATCAGTCCCTTCCTGGGACAGAGGCAAAGAGTGGGAGGATAAACATTTGTTTATCTTTTATTTTCTTTTTTTAATATATTCCTCCAGGAAGCATATAAAACTTCAAATTTATCTCTTTTTTACAAATTACAATTTTAAAATTACAAATTTGTAATTTTAAAAAGATTACTCTTATTTCTCCAGCTCGTGAAACAAAACCAAGCATAGAGCTAATGGCTACATACATAAATTTAGGCAAAGATAAAAGAAAATCTGCCTTACACATTATGGTCTTCTCTTCTTCCTCTCTAGGCACTAATTAGTGAGCATATGAGCCTTATCATATGTGAAGGCATCTAGTTATATTCTCATGCTTTTCAGTAAAGCTTGGTATATGTTATTGAATAATTTGTTCCCATTCAAGCAGAAGTTTTGAGTCTCTGTAGGAATCAGTGCCATAAGTTTTGTGAACTGGGTGAAACATTGCCGTGCTTCTGTTAGCTGCTTCTTAGCTTGGGTTTCTGTGTCATTCAAAGTGAACTGTAATGAGAGTTACTCATTCTTCAGTAGACTTGGGAGTGTTACAGACATTTGTATTTATTACCAGAAATGGCTTACAATTGTTTTTCATTTAAAAAACAAACACACACACCCCCCAACCCTCCAGGATGTCATAGTAGACTGATCTATGCTTATCATAAATCTATGTTATAGCTTGAGTGCTTACAAAAAAGTGTTGTGCTGGTTCTTAATTTTTGTTTCCTCATAAGTATTGAGAATTAAATTAATTTTTGATGATGAAGACTGCATTTGTCCTGCGTACACCCATGTACTAGGTAATTTAGTGCCATTTTTTTCAGGTTTGGCATAACGGGGCTGCTGCTAATAAGGCTGAACTGTAGCACAGAATAAGTTAAGGTATTTCACAGTAGCAAGCATCTCCACAGCCAACTTATGCTAATGTTTGCGTACATCTCGTAAGTGATGGAAAATGGGTGTAGGATCTCCATGATGGGTGCAGGCATAATTTGTATTGTTCAGTAAACAGATATTTTACCCACAAATCTGCTATTGTCAGATGTGTCATCAGTCCATTAGCGTGAGAAACAGTACTAAAAATAACAGGATAGGCCTGCTAAATACTGAGGCTTGTTAAAATAGTGACAGCAAACTGGCCCTTCTTTCATTCCACGTGAAAAGTGTTCTGTAGCTGGTCCCCGCTGTAGACTCAACCTAATGAAAAGCAAATTGGTTTTCAGAGATTGATATGGATCTATGACAATCTTCTGCTACTGATGTATTTCCAAGCCAATCATTTATTGGAGAGTTACAGCAAAGGACGCTTTTGTCAATAAACAATTTTAAAATACTGTTTTTTCTAAAGTGTTCCAAATGAAAAGGAAAAAAAATATAGCTTAATTTGCCAGATAAAATTAGTTTTAATTTGTAATATTACTCCTGATGAAGGATGCTTGCATGTGATAATTTCATGCCTTTCCCCGCCCCCCCCATCCGGGAGAACTGAGGCATTTTTGATCGCTTAAATGACATCTGTATTTCAGATGGAAGTAAAACAGAGAATTCTGTGATTTTTAGTTTTTCCCCATCTGAAATAATGCAGATCTGGTATGGTTCAACGCACATTGATAATTTTGAGAATGGTGAAACTGGTTTTGATTTGCACTACTGTGAAAATCCTTGATAACGTTGTTATGCGTTATAATGTGCTGACAACAGTTCTGGACACGTACCGCCAGTGAAGGTCTACTTGGTACTGGCCATGAAAGAAGTCGTTTTTTTGGAATGTGGTTCTGCACAGTGTTGTTAGGAATTTCTGGTTTTGGCAGAACTCGGAAGACAAGTGTAAATAAACTAAAATTGTGCATCCTGCCTTGTGCCACAAGCCTGCATATTAAGCTAGATGTTTGCTTTATATATTGTTCTCTTAAACAAAACCCATCAAAAGTTAAGAGGTCTGCTTTCTTGAACGATACCATTGTGAAATTTAATTTCTTCTAGACATATAAATACTTTTTGATACACGTTTTTTATAATACCTGATGACTTACAGTACAAAGGTTAATACAGTTCATTACCAATAAGTAAATTACATGCAGCTGAGCATGCTGTTACTTATTCTGATGGTTGGGTTAGAAAGGGATCAGAGAGGATAATGAAGGGTTTTAAAAAGACAAAAGTAAGTTGCTGAGTTAAAGCAGTTTTACTACTATTTGGATTGGGGTGTGTCACAGAAGGAAGCACTTTCAAAAATCTTTGATAAACACTCTTCTGTGTGATCAGGCTGACAAAGAATGTAACCTGTTTGTTTAAATGTTTTTGCTCATGTGTCTGTTTTTCCTGTACTAGAGCATTTGCAGAATTCTATAAATTAAGTTATGCCAAAACACGTGGTAAGAACTGAAATGAGTGCAGCAAAATCATGGCTTCATGGTGTGCGCATTTTTCATGTGCATCTCTTACAAACGTGTTTAATGTGACGATGCCTTGTGGTGCCTTACGCTTTTGTTCTTCACAGTGTGATTAAAAAATGTAGATTAATGCAGGGCTAACATATCTGCATTCTGTGACGCATATTTGGCTATTTAGAAAAATAGGATATAGATTTCAGTGAGCTATCTTTAGCTATCATAAGGCCTTTTTAAAAGCTGCCAGGAAAATTTTTTAGAAAATGATTTCCCATTTTGCATAAATTTTAACACCTGTTAATTGCGGTTGCTTTTTTCCCTTCTCGCTGTGTCACATTAGACACCCTGGTTATCAAAGTGATCGTATCACTATGGTATGTCTCATAATTATGATCAAACTGTTATCTAACATTCCTGGAGCATTCTTTTTTTCAATACTTAATACCTTTTATTCCTTGGCCTCATGCATGAATTATGCTGTGTATGTGAAGAGGCTTAAAGTTTGTTTCCATTACATTCTTTCTGAATGGATCCTGTTGTATCTAGGATTTTTTTAAAGCCAAGTAGGAATGTTATTGTTGACCTTGACACCAGATAACTGGGCAGACATTATATAGCTATGTTTGAATCCTCACAAAATGTGATGCTAAAGCCAACAGAATCCTGGCGTGAGACCCTCCTGGACAGCAGAGTTATGGAGCTTTTCTTTACAGTAAGTTTCTTTCTTCAACTTTCATAGTCCAGACCACAGGGAAAGCAGCTCCTTCCTGTTCTAAAACCGTATTGTCGGATTCTTCCTTTTGCATCAGGTAGGACTGATTCTGTTAACTTCAGCTTGCTTATCAAAGCAAACAGAAGTACTGTATTTTTCCTAGGTTACCAAATATGCATTTTGCCTATAAATTGCCTTAAATTGATGACCATTAAGGGAAGAAAAAGGTGTATAGTTATCTAAACTTTTATACATCTAATACTTTTGGACATGTATTCATCAAACAAAACCAAGCGTGGTGAGCAGCAGTAGAGTACGTCTTTCAGATAAGGTGTAACGGCTCTCAAAAAAGATCAAATGAACAGTATGTGATTGCTGATCTTAAAGCATTTGCTCAACGGAACAGCTGAAAATAAGTAATGTAATTGCAGTTTTCTAGCCAGTTTCAGCCTATAGAATTCGGCATCTCTTTCCTCAGCACAAAGTAAATCCAAACAAGTTAAAATAGATTAAGTTAGGAGGGATGGGGAAGAGGTATAGTTGGGATAGGGGAAAGTAATATTCAATTTCTGTAGCTTAAAAACCCCATGATATTAAAACTGGATAAAATTGAGTATTGTTTTCTTTCCACCACTGTTGGGGGGAGAAGTTTGTAGTCTTTGCTCGGTTACGCGTTGCTGCAGCAGCAGCAACATATACTGGTTTATAAATTCGTTTACTATGCTATTTTATCTTATGTTACATCTCTTGGGACCTGAGACTTCAGCATTCTCAGGCTATTTTCATTTTTGCAAAGCAGAGAAGTAATGTGCTCAAAACTTGGACAAAGTTGTTGTTAGTCAAAGTAAATGTAGCTCTCCAGTGCAGCTTGAGAGTTATCTGATACGTGCTTGGATACATGTCCTTACTTTGTAGGATTTTTTGATAAATTAGGTTTTTTAAAAATTATTTTTGACTACAAGTTTATCTGTTCCAGCAGTTTTGAAAAGGTGAAAAAATCACTGGCAGAACTCTTAGCAGCTACGCACAATCTGAACAGCTGTCTAGACTATCCAGACAGTTGCTGCTGTCAGCTGTGAACCTCCACATGCAGATATCTTTTTGGCTTACATATTAACCCTTCCTCGTTTAATAGTATGAAGATGTCAGAGTTAGATGTCTGTTTCTTTGGTTTACAATTACTTATTCATGACAAGAATAATGTTTTGAATAACATGCAGAATTGTATTAATACATTTGCATTTTACTTAATAGTAACCAAAACCTGCCTGTATTTGATTATTTTTGAATGAATGCTAGCCAGGGCAGTATGCTGTCAGTTTTGGTTTTTAGATTCCTGATTTGCAATGGTTGAGGCTTGTAGTATTAGTTTGCTATTTGAAGTAATGTAAGTGAATGTTAGTAATTTATATTCATTTATCTGATCTGAGAAATTTTAATAACCTTGCAAAAGTTGGCAGGACTGCCATGTTAGAGAGAGCGTTCGGTGCTAATCTCAGCCTAGTGTGGGATATCTATTAGAAGGGGTATTTTTGTTGCGGGGTTTGTTTCTCCTGCTAGTTTGATCTTTCAGAGATTAACTGTGCAGCTAATCCAACTAGTTATGAGTTGGATGAAGTTGCAACCATAATGCCACAGAGAAATGGTTAGTGTTTTAACTGTACTTTTACCAATAATATTGCTGAAATAATTTAACTAAATTTGCTTCTGGGTGAAAAAGCTACCTTATATTTATTTATTCAGTAAATCTTATGTGAAAAAATGAAGAGGCATGAGCCTAAGAAAATTCTTTAAATCCATACTTGACAATTAAAATAAGTATGTGAGAATATGATTACTGAAATATTAAGATTTGAATCTAGAAAGTCTCACCAGCAGAAGTAATGACATAACAGTTTGCAGAAATGCGGGAAGATTACTGTTGGCCTTGTATAATGTAAGGGTGTTGCCAAGGAAGTGATGCATTCATTTTTGTGTATGTCTTCAGTGTTTACCTCTGCTAAAGAAGCATCTATATAATCTTGATTGAACTTGTTGACTAACTTTAGCAAGACTCCGTAGCCTAGGCATAGTTAGCATAATAGAGATGACTGTCATTATTGCTGTTTTTAGAAGGAGCAGTATGTCTGACTGGCTGGCATCTGTTTCTCTCTTTAAGACATAACATTCGGTAGAGAGTTCAATTTTCAACATGTAGGTGAGACTTAACTAAATGTTAGTTTCAGTGAGTTAATTCAAGGCTTGCCATTTTGTGGGCTGAGTCACAATCCTGACATTTACTATGGTTTAGAGAGTTGTAGAAACCCTTGCATTTCAGACTGAATGGAAGTTATAGTAAGCTTTTTTTGGTGTGTGCTCGTTTGGATTGAGAGCCATGTGACTGTTGTAAGAACATCCTATTTTCCGTGTATTATTAACTGTCTCACTTCCTGAAAGGTACATCGAAAAATCAGAGAAGATACAGATATGGCCCAAGATTCATTACAGTGTCTGGCACAGCTGGCGTCTTTGCACGGGCCAGTCTTTCCCGACGAAGGTTCACAAGTTGATTACCTGGCACACTTCATAGAGGGATTACTGAATACTATCAATGGGTATGTATGCCTGCTCTCTAAATTTAGATGGCATCTTTTAATCTTTAGTTTGGAGTGTAGCCTACGTGTGGAGAACTGGTATGGCTTGCTTATTTCTGGGTATAATTTGTGCTTACTGTTGGATTACTGAAATTAAGAAAAGGCAGTTTAAAGTAGGTGCTTCTTAAGTAATATGAAATAGATTTATTGATTGAAAATGTATCAATAAAATAAATTCACTTTTAGCATTTTTCTTAATGGCAAAAAGCTAACTGCTATTTCTATCTATAGAATTGAAATAGAAGACTCTGAAGCAGTGGGAATTTCCAGTATTATCAGCAACCTGATAACCGTATTTCCTCGCAATATTTTAACTGCCATTCCAAACGAACTTTTCTCTTCATTTGTTAACTGCCTTGCACATCTCACTTGTTCTTTTGGAAGAAGTGCTGCCTTGGAAGAAGTGGTAAGTATCCCCTCTCAAATAGTAGGTAGTCTTTTTTTGTTTCTCTCTATTTGTGATAAGCATAAGTGACATGAGAATTTGGCTGTTTTATTAATAACTGTTGTGCATTCAGTGGTTTTGTTCTAGATATTTCTGAACTCACATCTGAGAGGATTTTCTTTTTGTTTAAACAACATAATGAACATAATTACACACTGTGTGCATCTTTCAGACTTTGTTTTGATTTAAAGCACCTGTCTCATATTTTCATTTTTAAAAGAATGGATTAATTTATATTAAAGTCTTTAAATATTGCTGACTTGCTCTTGTGGGACTTCTCTGAGAACTGTTGTAGATAATGAACGAGCTACAGTCCCGAAAGCTTAAAATGACTACATGAACATATGGACAGACTGAAACTTAACTGCTGTCAGGAGTTCTGACTCAGGAACTTCTGTTTTAAGTGAATGTAGCTGTTAAGATCTGTTGTTAACCCAATACTTCTAAGCTGTTCAAATCATCCCTTCATTGCTGACACAGTTCAAATGGTAATTCTGTGTAAAAATGTAGCACAGGAATTCAGAGGATTTTTTTTCTGTTTGTTTACTTCTTTCAAACTTTGGTTGTAACATTAAAGAGCAGTTGGGATAGTCTTAAGTTTTCTGCTTCTAAAAATTGCATTAAAAATAAGAACTTCTAAGGAGACCTAGTTTAAGGAAAAAAGCCCCTAAGAATTAAGGCGAATAATCTTGCACTTGAGCTATTTATGTGCAGTAGCTATTGATTTAAAATGAGACTATTAGCCAATATTTCCCCATTATCATTTAAAAGTATGAATTTTTAACAGTTTTGCTATATTGACTGGGCTTGATTACCTGAGTTTGAAAATAATTGTAGAAGTATTTAGTTATAAAGTTGATGGATGTGTTTCTTTACCAGAGATCACAGGTGTGTTAATTAGCATTCGTTGCAGAGCATTAGATCATGTCTTTGCTGCAAGGTTAAAATGTATTACATTTGGTCCAGTGCTCACTTAAACTTTCAGGTGTGTTCATGTCCTAATCAAGAAATTGAGGATTAAAATTAGAATCTGAAATACAGCTACTTTCTAAACCTTATTGGTCAAAACTTGCCCTGCTTTTGAGATTATTTAGTAGAACATTGAACAGATGTTCTTGTGCTCACCCACACATTTAGGAATCCTCCTGAAGCCTTTATAGAAAAGATTCAGCAAAGTCATAAGCACCTATCATTTAAATTAAAAGGACTAAAGGGATGTTGTTTCCTCAATTAGCCTCTTGTTACTTGAGAGCTAGAATATGCAACCCTGTTTAATGAAAGGTGCGCTCAACATAACACCATTCAAAACACTTCATCTCTCAGTAAAAGCTTGTACCACTATCTGGTGCAAAGAGTTTGTTTTGGAAATGACTGGCCCATTATGCCTAGTAAACTGTGGCTGCCTACGCTTATATAATCCCATAGTTTTTGCTGAAGAAAGTCTTTTCAGTATTAAACTTAAATATTCTCAGATTCAGCAACATCAGAAAGAGAGAATACAAGATTTTTTTCTTTTGAGAGAGAATTTGCTCACTGTCCTTGAATCTTTAAATCACTCTGTGGAAAAAGAAACATTACACTTTCGCATTTCCATTCTGTCATAGGTCTTACACATGTATAGTATATATCTCAACTTCATGCTGTTTCTCTGATTTCCAGGATGATACAGAATTCTGTGGTGATGAGCCTTAAAAAAAAAAAAAAAAAAAATCTTATATCTTAGCAGTGTCAGCAATAAGGCATGCTACTGAGACTTTCAAGCTATTGCTGACTTAATCTAGATGGCGTAATGATACTGTGTGCTGAAAAAATACGACTTTGCATCCCTGAAAGCAGTCTTTTGACTTAGGAATGTCCCAGCCATAGTTAATGTGTTTCCCAAGCTTCTTGCTTATAGATTGCTTGTAGTGACACCTTCTGTGAGCTCATGTGCTGCATATAATTAAGAGCTTTTGATAAAAGATGAAATACCGTGTGCATTGGGCTCAGTAGAGACCTGAGATAATATTCCCGGAACTTTTCAGGAATCTGAAGTGCAGCAGAATGCAGGCAGGCTTACTCCATAAGCTTTGCTGGCTGGAAAAGCTGTTTTCCCCATGTTTCTGCTACTTCATATGCCAGCAGAACAGCTTGCAGAAACCCAGTCAGGTACAAGGATTGTACTTAGCTGAAGACCTGCTATGGAAACTGTCAAAATTGGGAGATCCTGAACCATAATATGCAAACCACGTCAAAGCAGCTAATACTGATTTTTCAACCAAGGTGGAAAAACCCACAATCCAAACATCATGTTCAAATGCTGTCTTGCGTTAACCTGCCTATTGGGGTTGGGGAGATTGGCTGAAGGAAGTTGAAACATTTGCCTGAACAGCTACACTGGTGAAGGGCAGTAAGCTTCAGCAATGCTGGGGGTTAGTTTATGGTGCAAGTTGGACCAGTATTTTCTTTTCCTTTCCCATACTGTAGAAATTAGGCATCTTTGCTTTGACTTTACTGGTTGTATCTTGCCTCTCCTGAAGATCTGAGTTCTGAACTGGGCTCTGCCATTGCTTCTGTTGGATCCATCAGAATGATTCAGCTCCCCAGTCTGCAGCATGTCACTTAGTTTACATGTATGACATCTTTGGTAGCTCAGCTGTAGCTAATCTGAAGTGAGGATTGGGAATTTCTAGTAAGGTTCCTTTGTGACCAAATTTGTTCGATATGGATAAACTCTTCTACTATTTGGGCATGTGCTTTATGGAGGCACTTACTAATTCTAGCTTCCTTACGAGAATAACGTAAAGTGTTAAAAACATTTTTTTCATGGCATTACCTTCTGTATTACCTTCTCAAATAAATGAATTGGATAGATTTGAGTTCTTCTGTTCATAAAAAGACATGTCTGTTTATTGGTTTATGCTCTGTATTCTTATAAACCATTAAAAGCTATATGTAAGTTATATATGTACATATATTATATTCACACACGTCAAAATATTTCAAGATCGAATGATTGTCTATGAATTCTTGTGTCCTTTAGCCAAGTTTTAAAAAGACATGTTGTGGTGTCCATCCTAAATTTGTGGCTTATGTTAGTATTGAATACAATTTTGCCTCTCTCCTTGTCATCTTCAGCTTTTGTTTTCACACTTGCATCAGTGTGTCCCATATTTTAACTTCTGTAAATATGACCACTTTGCAGTTATAAAATGATGCTGTGAAGCTATCTTGAAATGTTTCCAACATGATATCAGTTTTCCCTCTTAATCAGTCATCCAGCCAATGTTTTCTTTTCCTTGCCTGTTCATCCAGCTGTGTTTGTAACTTCACTGAAAGTCAGGAATTCTTCTGTCTGGAGCATGATTAAGGCCCTAATATCTCTTTATTTCAACAAGGAATCATTTTACTAAGCTCTGCTATCTCAAAGTAACTTTTGTGAGCGATCCTGTTGGTTCAAACTTGAGAACACGTCTTGGACGAAAGAAATGTCCTGCTTTGGCAGCATGTTTATCCTTACGGTCACACTTAAGTTACATGAAGTTGGGTATATTTACTAAAGTTCAATTTTTGTGTCAAATCAAAAAGTTGATAGGTACGTTAAAAATACTTTTAGAAGGAAATGGCCTTTTTGCCATCTGGGTTTTTTAGTTTGCCTGTAACCCAGGACTTTGTTTTTCAGGTATATTATTTGCTTTTGCAACTTACGTACCATACAGAAACACATATGAATAACTAAAAACATGAAGCATTAGTTAAAATGCACTAAGCAATTGGAGGTGCAGGCCTATTCTGTGGAATTCTGCTTTTTTTTCTTTGATCATAAAATGAGAAGTTGTATATCATCATCAAAAATGGCTACCTGTAGTAGGGTTTCTTGAACACATGCAATCTTACAATTATTTCCTCTGGGACAGAGAATTGTCATCTTTTCTCTATGTATTTCAAAAATAGTGGAATACATATAAATCTATATGCACATGTTCTATACTTTTCTATTTAATTAAAAAGAAATGGCTCGATTCTCTGTTGTTACTAATAAAAGCTGAGATGCTTGACATCTTTGGGGTAAAAGCTCAGTAGCTCCTGTATTTAGGTAATTATGCATTAAAGGCAATTTAAGACTGTTTTGGTTTTGAACATCAGATGAAGAGAAATAACTAAACACTTTGACATGTTTTTTTTTTTTAAGAGTAGCAAGCATGAAAGCTGCACTGACCTTTTCGATGCGTTGCTTCAGTTCATTCTGATATTTTCTTGGCTATTCTTAGAGGTTTTGTGACTGATTTTTTTTTTTTTTTTTAAATTGTTTCAACATTAGAAGAACATCTGTTAAATAATAATGAATATAAGTATGTTCCTCTGGTATAGTTTAGGAATAAAATTTTTGTTTTGTTACTTTCATTTCTTACAGCTTGACAAAGATGACATGGTATATATGGAAGCATATGATAAGTTGCTGGAATCTTGGCTTACTTTGGTACAAGATGACAAACATTTCCATAAAGGTTTCTTTACCCAACATGCTGTTCAGGTCTTTAATTCCTACATTCAGTGCCATCTAGCTGCTCCTGATGGTACAAGGAATTTGGTAAGCCCTTATTCTAGTAGTTCTTAATGATGATATATAGTAACTAGCCCATGTCTTGTGTGTACTATATTATGTAGCTTAAGGGAGCTAGTATAGAATTACTGTTTGTGACTTTGGAAATGAAAAATTTGCTGAATTTGTTACTCGGTGGTCATTTTCCAGTCTTTCTCTCATTCTGAAGAGGAAATAAAGGAATACAAAGTTGGAAATCACTTTAAAAAAAAAAAAAAAAAACAAAACAGAAAAAAGTAAACCTGTTACTCCAATCAACGTGCATCTTGCTGTTTTTCCCACAGATGCAATGACTAAACTTTTGACCGTCCTTCTCTGTTCTACGGTCCTGGTTAAAATCCCCAATGAAATTGGAAGCCTTTTATACGGTTGTTACCTCCCATACATTATCTTCAAAGTATACTTTTGAAGTATAATTGACATGCATAAATATCTGAAAAAATGTAGAGTGTCTACCCTCTGACTAGAAGAAACTTGCAATACTATGTGGTTCTTTTGAATAAAATGGTACCTGAATTCCCAATTGAATTTTTGAGATGACTGTTCTAGAAAAAACCTCAAAGTACCTCAAGTATCTCTTGAACCTTTGAGAAAGAAAGCAGTCTCTTTGCCAGGAGTCTGGATCTTACTAAAATACATTCTCATACAGAAAGTTGGATGTAGATGTTGGATTAATTAATTATTGCAAAGATCCAGTTCAATAACTGTATAAAATCTCTCTTTAATTTGATGCTATGCAAAGATCTCCAAGATACCTCATTCTGAAAAGCACCATATAAAACTTAATTGTGCTATCTCAATATGTAACAGATGGTAATAACAGTGCCAAAACAGAGAGAAATATTTCACAAGGGAACTTTGAATTCATATCAGGCGGTCTTGACATAACTTGTATACACAGGTTAATTCATGTCATTCTGCAAGATAAGTCATTTATCCCATGGGTAACCTTTTAAAAGCCACAGCTGGCATTTTAGAATGCTTCTTGTTCAATATCAAAGCAGTGACAGGAACTTTCAGTCTCTGCTTTGAGAGCAGAGGCTCACTCTTCAGTAAACAGCTGCAACTTTGAAGTTGCCAAAAGAGAATGATTTGCTGGGTTACATAAAGAAAAGATGGGTTAAAAGCACTTTGGATAAGGAGTTGTGTGTGGATTCAGTTTTCCAGAGCCATTATAGAAACGAAGATGACTGATAGCTTTCTCTGTCACTTGTATTTTACTTTTAGTTGTGTAAATTTTATGATTCTTTAAGAGATTTTTTTAAAACATTTTAACATCAATATGTAGTTTCTACATACAATGGTTCATCTCTTCAAGGAATAAGGTGTGATTATTATTTAAGTATTTTATAATGCAGCCAAGATAAGCTTTGAGAAATCAAGCCATGCAACTTCTGTATCAGCAAGAAATAAAACTGAGATGATGATGATGATTATCAGTCTTCTGTTTTCCTGAGGTTGTAACATTTACTTTTTAAAGCTTTTTCCCCTCGAACAACAGGTTATGGAGAATCTTTAATGAAAGAGATGATTTTCATTTCATCATGAAAAATACTACCTGTTCTGTGATTTATGTAATATCTTAGACAACTGAGAACAATATCTTTGACTAATGAATAGGGGAAAGCATGGAAGTTCCAGTGTTTAAAATGTGATATATATGTGATTTGAAATGCAAACGTACTTCAGCAGTCTTCTGACCACTGGGTTTGCAGACCATCTCTGTGAGCCAGTCATTCAGTACCTTATATCACAATTCTAGCAGTGGGTGCTTGACAGAGCTGATTTATATACCCTGTGGTATAAAGAAGCTGTTTTGCTATTGTCCAGCCTGTGCTTATCTTATTAATAACAAGTACCAATTTTCATAACTCTTATCCTTGACTCTTTTCACAGTGAATCTTTCGACTTGAGAGTACTATTGGAAACGGTAGCAAATATACAATTAACTGAATGTGGCATTTTGCTAATGAGTTTGTGAAATGCTGTTGTGGTTTAACCCCAGCCGGCAGCTAAACACCACACAGCTGCTCGCTCACTCTCCCCTCCCCAAGTGGGGTAGGGGAGAGAATTGGGAGAGGGAAGTAAAATTTGTGGATTGAGATAAAGACAGCTTAATAGAACAGAAAAGGAAGGGGGAAATAATAATAATAATAACAATGATAGAATATACAAAACAAGTGATGCACGATACAATTGCTCACCACCCACCAACCGATGCCCAGCCAGTTCCCGAGAAGTGGTCACCGTTCCCCGGCCAACTCCCCCCAGCTTATATACTGAGCATGACATCATATGGTATGGAATATCCTGTTGGCCAGTTTGGGTCAGCCGTCCTGGCTATGCTCCCTCCCAACTTCTTGTGCACCTGGCAGAGCATGGGAAGCTGAAAAGTCCTCCACTTAGTGTAAACACTACTTAGCAACAACTAAAACATCAGTGTGTTATCAACATTCTTCTCTTCTAATCATAAATCCAAAACACAGCACTATACCAGCTACTAGGAAGAAAATTAACTCTATCCCAGCTGAAACCAGGACAAATGCTGATTTCAAAACAATATGAAGCCATGTTTACTCCTCTGTTTAACTCTTCTGTGTCTAGTTTAGTATGAGTCTGTTGTTCATCCATGCAAAACACCTTGGAAGACAAAGCCAAAATAATGTAGAAAATTGTGGTGATGGTAAAATTTAACAAGTATAACACTAACTGGTTGCTTCTAATTTTGTTGAAATAACCAAAGACTGCCAATGGTGTGGCCTCTCGGGAAGAAGAAGAAATAAGTGAACTGCAGGAAGATGACAGAGACCAGTTCTGTGACCAGTTGGCCAGTGTAGGCATGCTGGGGAGAATTGCTGCAGAACACTGTATACCTCTTCTTACAAGGTATTAAAAAAAAAAAAAGTAATGAATGCAAATCAATAAAGCCATTAAATATTAAAAGCCTGACTTTGCCTAAACAATTTAAAAACAGTGAAGTTACTTTATTGTTATTTGTCCACAGTTTATTAGAAGACCGAGTGACTAGGCTCCATGGTCAGTTGCAAAGACATCAGCAGCAGTTACTTGCCTCACCAGCATCAGGCTCAATTGACAATAAAGTGCTTGATGACCTGTATGAGGATATCCATTGGCTTATTTTAGTCACAGGTTAGTGAACAGCTTTAAATGGTACTTATTCTGGTATTCTTATTGCAGCTGGAACACCTCAGGAAAAAAAATAAAATCCCTATATATCAACTACTCTTAATTGACTATAAATTTTATCCCTTATGATGCTTTCATCTTACATACACTACTCGCAAAGTCTTTGTTACTGCCTTGAGTAATATGAACATTATCTTTAAAAGATTGATGAAATCTTTACATGAGGTATGTCCTTTGGAAATTCCTGCAACTAATTTTGTTACAGATTTTTTGAGATGTCTTATCAGTCAACCTATTCAAGAAATTAGTCTATTCATTATATCAGTTGTATTGTCTGGGGGCACATGACTCTATAAGGGAATCAACATGAGATCAGGATCACAGTATTACTCAGTAGTGGCAAAGAATCAAGTAAGTTTCAGAATCTCTCAGTGCTGATGATCCATGTCCTAGCATTTTGTTATGTTTCAGGGAACTTGAATTTAGAACTTTTTTAGTTTTGATTTTTAGATGGAACTATCTTACATCTGTTTGCAAAACATAATAACAACTAAGACAGTGTCTGTACTTTGTTAGGAGAAATGTATGCTTTGTGAAATATTTTGTGGGATCTTTTTGAACATCTGATGTTTTAGTTGCCTTCAGATGTTGACACATGAATGTGTTTACAATATTTTTGTATCACTGTGGGATGGAGTTTGTATTTGTATCTCACAGATGGTTATGGGATCAGGCGTTTAAAACTACAACTGAAGTTGGAATTAATATTAATTATCTGGACACCAGAGTATTGTATAAAAACCCGTGCTTCACCTGATCTGCAGTTGCTATGCAAGGAAAGCTTTATTACAGCACGTGTGCTTGGTGTCTGAAAGCCTCTGACAGATTAGAAACGTTAGCAGAATAGAACTCCTGAATGAGATGGACTTGGTAGGGAAGCTGTAAAGTCAAGGCGCTTTTTATCCCATAACAGAAGGAGAAAAAAGTGACGAGAAAATGTTGCTTTGGTTTTTTTCCCCCCTCAATAGTTGAATTGACTGTAGTACTTCTACATGAAGCAAAGCTTATCTCTCTTTTTTTTTTTTTTTTTTTAATTTGGTGGTTTCTTTTCCAGTCTTGGTTTCTTGTCACTTTAGGTTCTTCTCTAGAATCTTTAAGGATTCTAAACTTAACTTACACGTATTTAAACAGTGTTAGTCAGGGTTTGTATAAACATTTGATTCTGGTGTGATGTGTGCAGTTAAGCCAATGGACTCTCTAATCAAAAAGCTGTAAGTTAACCTAGGATAGAAAGTTGTGATCACTCTTTCTTTTTTAATGTAAGGCTACCTCTTGGCTAATGATACTCAGGGAGAGACTCCGCTAATACCTCCAGAAGTAATGGAATATTCCATTAAACATTCAGCTGAGGTTGACATCAATACAACACTTCAGATTCTGGGATCTCCAGGAGAAAAGGCCTCTTCCATCCCAGGGTACAACAGAACTGATTCTGTAATTAGGTAAGGGTGTGTCTCATGCTATTAAGTTATGTTAAATGCTTTTTCAGAGAAAAAAAGTGAGAATGTGAATGGACTTCTGTGAATTTGAACAGTAAAAAAGCAATATGTAAACACTGAACATTGGAAAAGAAATGTCTCTTTAGTTTAGTACTAAAGTAAGGGCAAATAATTTATAAGAATTGTTTTATAACAGACATATTAAGGCAATGCTGTAAAAGAGATTAAAAAAAGACGGAAATGATGAAGTGATTTTTTTTTTAGGGTAAAGAAAGGCAGGGTAAATACAGATGATTTTCAAGTTGAGGTGATCCAGGGGAGGACTGAGAAGAAAAATGAGAGTAAGGCATCAAAACAGATAAAACTGAGTCAAGATGGGGAGCCTGAAATGACTAGATTGATGACCTAATAGTCTTAACAGAGGACATGAGCCAAAGTCTTGGAAATAAATAGAAATGTTTTTATATCTCTACTGAAAACCCGTATTTGATCTATCTACAGAAAGTCCTTAAAATGACTTAAATTACTAAAAAGTTGGTAGATCAAAATCTTTAGATAATATACTATATGCTCTATAATTCATTCAGCACATGTACAGCTTAAGCAAACGCTTTCCAGAGCATCAGTGAGCTTGTCTGCTTTAAACATGAGTTACTGCCCCAGCTTGGCAGTAGCAGCTCAGTTGGTCCTCGGTGTGGGAGGAATTGTTGTCGCTTATGTATACATATCACTATTAGCCTATAAAAGGAGCAGGAGAGGGGATTTCTGTTCTCTTTTTGCAAGAAGGGTGACACCCACAAAGGACTCCTCAATTTGAATCCTCACACTTCAGAAGATTGCATTCCACTTTTAATGTGGAAGAGTCTTCACCCAAGATTAGTTGTTTTGTGTACTTAACATTTTCTTCTTCTGGAAGAGGCTAGAAAAATGGATCTTCATTGGCAATGATTTGCCTAACGCTTAGAAGTTTGAATACTGCTCACTGATACTATTGGCAGTTCATGTCAAGAAGTGGCCAACAAACAGGGTTTCTTGACGCAGTGTCTTAGCGGTGATGGGAATAAAATCAGATCTAAATAAGGAGAGATTTGAGGCTCTCTGGCAATAGCCCTGAAACACCTTCAATAAATAGACCACTGTCAACTTCTAAATTCCTTGTGCACTATTACATTCTTACCAAATTTAATTGATATACTACAAAAGCTAATATTTAATGTACTAATGCAATCACCTGGTGATTGCTATTTCAGACTGTTTCTCTGCAGTAATGAAAAAGAGAGAAGTAACTGATCATTTCTGTATTTGTTCTTTAGTATGCATCACACTCTAAAAGCTGCACAATTAGGCCCCACTTGGTCACTAAGCTTGATGATGCAAGAAAAGGAGAATCAGTTTTTCAAAAAACCTTTTCAAGCACTCCAAGTAGTCCATTTGTCTTCATTGCCTTGATGTCAGAATGCTTGTGAGGATTCTTCATTGCAGTAATTTTGATGTCAAAGATAATCACCCTACCTTTTAATGCATATTCTGACTTTTTGGAGGATATTTGCCAGTCTATCCTGTCTCTCTCTCCTTGCATTTAAAATAAAAATAATTTCAGGTGCTTTTTACTTCATTAGAGATGAACTACTTCGTGTTATCCTGTTCCTTCTGTCACACTTCATGAAAAATAAACCTGTTTGGTAGTTGCATTGCTTCTCCAAAAACACTCTCAGCATCCTCAATTGTATTTTAAATCTGCAGGTTGTTATCTGCTATTTTAAGAGTGTCAGAAGTAGAATCTAGAGCAATAAGAGCAAATCTCACACACCTCCTGAGCCCCCAGATGGGCAAAGATATTGTATGGTTCCTCAAGCGTTGGGCAAAGACTTACCTCCTAGTAGATGAAAAGCTGTATGATCAGGTAAGGATATAACTTTTATGAATTAATTGGTGAGTATTAGCAATAATATTATCATGTGAATGCAGATATCAGTGTAGCTATTTTAAAGTGCAATGATAAAGCATTTTTAATATTAAATGGGTTGTGGTTTATTTTGGAATTTGTTTGAAAGTTGATGTTTTCTTCAGTTTTTTTAATTAGAAATATAAGTTGTTAGAGGACCCTTCTTGCACATTTTGGTGCAAATGTGATTTTTTTTTTTGTGGCCATTGCCACAGCAGAAGAGCATAGCATGTTCTCAAGCTGCATAGTGGGTGGAACTCACTGACAATTTCATAAGCTACTTCTCACTCCCCATCAGATCTTACAGTTCATCTCTAATACAATGGTTGCCCTTGATGGATGCCCTGGTCATTATTCTGATTTAGGTATTTAACACAATCACAAGGTAGTATACATTAGCTAATGTCATGCTACTTTCTCTCCTCTCCCCATTCTCATATGTTCTCATTGTATATATCATGATTTCAATGGTGCGTTCTTTGTGAAGGGCAACTTCTTATCATGTTTGAACAGCACTAATCATGATTAGACCTTGATCCTGATTTTGCTTATAGAACTAACTGTAATCCAGCTAGCTGATGGAGACCACTCATCCCGAGGAGGTCCTATTGGCTCTAACTTTGAAGAAGGAAGCCTTCTCCTCTTCCCCTTTATTTCCACTACTGAAGCAACTAAGAATACTAACGCTTCAGGAAGCCCCTCCTTAACAAAAATAGGTATACCAAAGACTTGTAAATACTTGGAATCATATTATTCAGCTTGTACTTAGAGCAGAGCTAAGAATTTGTAAAGGTAACAGTTGGGGAAGAATTGGAGAGCATGTAAGGAGGAGATCCGCATGAGAAACAATGTGAAGGGACAAAATAGAGTATCTAGGAAATGCACATTTAGTTTGTGTCAACACGTGAAAGTGATTGAAACCTCTGTTTAAACCTTATGCTCAGTCACGTATATATTACGAGTTTTAAAGTTAGAAGTGTTAGTGGTGTGCTGACAGGAAGTCCTGGCACAATTATTACAAAATCCTTGGATTTCACTCTTGAGAAACTTTTTTTAAAGATAGGAGAACAGGCAATTTCAAGAAAGTGTATTTTAATGTGCCAGGACTGGAATGTGACATCCTTCCTAAAAGATGTATAGATTGAAGGAACAATCTGCAGAAAGCAGATGCAGAAAAATTGCAGTGAAAATAAGTTTTTACAAGATTCAATCTAGATCAACAGCTAGGTTTATTTCTAATAATTTTTATCACTGAATTGTGAGGAATTTAATCATAAATTCATGGAAACGCTTTTGGGAGATTATTTTGGGATCTTTCTTTTAATTTTTGAAGCTTTTGAACTTTCATTGGCATTAAAAGCTAGACATACTCAAACCTGGTTTTGTAATGAGGTTGAAACTTTTCTTTGTTTTAGGTGTTGTGCTTAAAATTGCAAGATAAATTTGGCAAAGATTTTTCTATAACAGGTATTCTTTGCCTTTGTCTGTGTAACATTTGTGTATTAAGTAGGGAAGAAGTGACAGCCTGAAAAGAATTTGCTGACAATGATTACCATACACTTTGGGGTTCTGGCTTCTGTAAAACTCACTCATTTTAATGCTTTTCTTATAGATAAGTCTGCCATTTAGTACAGCATTTGGTGCTGATACAGAGGGTTCCCAGTGGATTGTGGGTTACCTTTTAGAAAAAGTGATCAGTAACCTGGCAGTGTGGAGTTCAGAGCAGGACCTTGCAAATGATACTGTACAACTGCTAGTAACATTAGTGGAAAGGAGAGAGCGGTAAGTTGCTATACCTCTGGAAGTCAAAAAATTTCTTTTGCTTCCTTTAAATTTTTTTGGCCAAAGTAATCCAGATATAGGGCACTTCATATTCATGTCTCTGTAAGTCAAATTACCTTAGTAACATACTATAAATGGAAAGAAAATTGTCTGACAAAGTGAGGAGTGAGACCTAGATTTGACAAAACATAATCTAATTTTTATTATAATTTAGAAGTGCACTCTCCTTCCCTTACCTTTGTGCCTCACTCTTAAACAGTGAGAAAGGAAAACTCTCCTGGTCTCCACTCTTATAGCAAGGATTTTTTGTGGTGGTGTTTATTTTTGTCGAACAAGTTCTTCTGGATTAAGAGTTCAGATACTGGCTAAGTCAGTATAAAATGTGTTTTGTAAACATACAAAAATTTTTTTTAAAATCCAGGATTTGGCGGATTCAGACAAAGTTTCAAAGTTTTCTTTGGTATTACAAACTGTGACGCAGGAAATTCTTGAATGTTTTACTTTCTGTGAATTGCAATTTTACATGTAATCATGCATTCAGAATCTGTTGAAAGACTGTCGTGAAGTTCAAGGAGTTGAATGCTTGACGAATTTTCTTTTTAAAAAAATTAAAACCCACAGGAGCTAGTTTTGGAATAAACTGCTTATTTTATCATGACATAATGAGACTAAGCTTTTAATCCATGCAATATGTCCATTAACTGTGTGTGTGTATGTGTGTAAAACTAAAGCACTTCCCTGCTTTTCTCCCATATGAATTGAGTTATTTTCAGGTTATATACTTTAGAAATCTTAGAGGTGAGGCATTAATAAGATGAAAGTCAAAAGGCAATTGAGCCTTAGAATAAAGGAATTAAAATTTAGGAAAAAAAAAATCTTCTGACAACTGCTAGCAACCTGATGCGCTCTGTTCATACAATATTGTGAAGTCTTTTCTTTAATTAAACTGTTTTTCCCTCTTCTAGGGCAAACTTAGTTATTCAATGTGAAAACTGGTGGAATTTAGCTAAACAATTTGCAAGGCGAAGCCCTCCTCTTCACTATTTGTCCAGTTCTGTGCAGAGAACACTAATGAAAGCTTTAGTTTTAGGAGGTTTTGCTCATATGGATACAGAAACAAAGCAACAATACTGGACAGAGGTAAGCTATTTTGATGCTTCTGTTACCTTCATTTTTGCAAGTAGTACAAACAACTTAGTTTAGGGAATTTTATGGTGACACAAAATCAACTCGTTCAGAATCTTTTGATTTTGAACATCTAATATTGATAATTTTTTAAATTATTCTCTCTTTGAAAGTCAATAGTTGTATGGCACCCAGGACCTGCCAAAAATTGTATCTAAAACACCACAACGTAAACAGAAACAGGATTCATGAAACAGCCACTATAGCAGTACACTTGAAAAAGACTATTAGAAAAGGTTAAGAATTTCCCTTGGAACTGTGTAATTTCTTCCTTTTATTTTAATTTGGTGGTGTTATGAATTATTCAATTATTCACTTAAAGATAATGACTGTAAGTGAAAAGCTAATGTGGAACATAATGAAGAGCCTTGACCAGCTTTTTGTGCCCTGGCTCCATTATATCTCAGATATTTAATACCAGAAAGATTAGTGCTAGAAAGTAGCTGAAATGCTATCAGTGAGCACTGCATGTGTTTGTAAAGCATTGGCCTTCTAAAAGAAACTTGCTTTTATTAGCAAAGCTATGAAATTAGTGATTGAAGGTAAGACTATAATGCACTGGAAGTAATTGGGAAGAACATTTTACCATTTTTATGGAAGTTTCTAAATTGGTTCCAAACACAGCTGATTACAAAAGAGATTGCACTATTGAGAATCATAATATGACGAAGATAATTGTGAACGTGAATCTTAATTAAGGCTTTCATTGATAAACTGTAACAGTTTTTTCCCCTAATACTGAATTTGGAAGAGAATGAAATACTGTGAACCAGAGAAGGTCATCGTCATTTGTTTAAAGATTACAAAATAACATAAAAATCTTTATGGAGGTGCTCATTTTGAAATCAGCCTGCAGTGGTGATGGATAATGAGAATTACTAATTACTACTACTTCAGCTTATGTTAATGTGACAGATAACAACATAATTGAGCTGTTGGAAACTGGAAGTGATTGATTCTTGTACTCCTGTGCCAAAAGCAACCCGTAAGCTTGCTAAATTACTTAAACCTCACATCTCCTGTAATGGTATGTTTATCTTAACGTGACTTTTCTAAAAATTTTAAGGTTCTTCAGCCACTTCAGCAGCGATTCTTGAATGTGATAAACCAAGAAAACTTTCAGCAGATCTGTCAGGAGGAGGAAGTGAAACAGGAAATCACTGCTACATTAGAAGCTCTCTGTGGCATTGCTGAGGCTACCCAGATTGATAACGTAGCAATTCTCTTCAACTTCCTGATGGATTTCCTTAATAATTGCATTGGATTAATGGAAGTATATAAAAACACACCAGAGACTGTTAATCTCATAATAGAAGTCTTTGTTGAAGTTGCACATAAACAAATTTGCTATCTTGGAGAGGTAAATACCACCAAAAGGGGAAGGAGGGGAAGAGAGTGAGAGAGTGTGTGTGTATGTGTACGTACGTGTATACACAGTGCTATCCCTTAAACAAAATAAAGGATAGTGATTTTTAGATTCTATAGAGAAAGAAATGCTATATGGTCATATCTGTTAGAGGAATTTCTTTGTTTAAAAACATACACTTGCTAAGATTAAAAGCAGGACATCTATACTGTTCTTATACCAGTAAACTTAACCATAATTCATCACTAATCTAACTCTATGCATGGGTGGCAAAAGAGTGCAGACCATGTTGAGTACTTTTTTTAACCATATCAAACTTCTCTGAAGGCTTGTCTAGAAGAATTGCAGCACTGTTTTATGTGACAAATGCATACCATAGAAACACTGCCTTGGTCCTAAACAAGGCATAATGGATACCAAGATACTATCTGGTAAAACGAATCAGTGCAGTACACTTACATCTTTGCTAATTTTAGCTGTTGGCTAATTTTGGTTTTGCATCTAGAAGCAATCCTGCCTATTCCAAACTGGGTATGCACAAACAGTGTATTATGGCTTCGAACTTTGATAGCTGAAATGAGTCCCCAACAGATTTTTTTGGTAATCTAGTTTGTGAGATTAGTGAGATGTGTCAGCCTGTCCCAAGCCACTCTTTAAAAAAAAAAAAAAAAAAAAGTAGGAATTGATAAAAGTAATGTTCTGCTCTTTCAATGGGTGGCACATCAACATATGGCTGTAAGTGTTCTTGTTGTTTAAGGTGGCTGTTTCCTTGATGATTTTGTGTGCAGTTGTTACAAAAAGTGGTTATATAACTGAAACTAAAATCTTGAGGTATCATCAACCAAATAATGCCATCTTAAAACAAAGTGTGTCACTATTAGCATATGACGTTTTCTTATTATCTAACACTGTTTTATAGGCCAAAGCCATGAACTTGTATGAGGCCTGCCTGACTCTGCTCCAGGTGTATTCCAAGAATAATCTAGGTCGACAACGGATAGATGTTACAGCAGAAGAAGACCAGTACCAGGATCTCCTTCTTATTATGGAGCTTCTCACTAATCTTCTATCAAAAGAATTCATAGACTTCAGTGATACAGGTATGAAGGAATTGGTAATTGCTGAACCATAACTTGTGTTCTAAACTGTAAAAACCATTATGGGGCATGTGTTCTGTCCAGGTAAAGGGAAGACTGAAGTTTAGGCTTGATTAGATCAGGATATGAAAATTACTATTTAATGTGCCAGTAGCAAAGGAAGGACTTTTCACAGTATTCTAGCATCTCAAATTATTATTGCTCTTATAAAATAAATAGGGCATGTATGAAACAGGTTGAAATCTGACTGTTGCAAGTCTGAATATGTAGTAGCAGCAGTCTCATAACAAAAAACCCATAGAGAAGTCAGAATAGTATACTTTACCAAATGACCAAGTTTCAGAGCTTTAAATGGACAAATGGTGCTTGGAATCTGGCTAATTCTCAGTATTGTACTGAGTAAAGAATGAAGGATCATTATATTCAAAATATCTCCACACAACACCAGCGTTTCTCAAACTTAAAACTGATAAAGACTGTTTTAACAGTCTATACTCTAATGGTTGGACTTGATGATCTTAGAGGTCTTTTCCAACCTGAGTGATTCTATGATTGTATGATTACCGCAAGAGGGCAGATGGATTATCTTCTTAGTACAAGATCCAACTTTTGTGAAATGCTGAGCTCATGAAAATTCCATCACGTTTGAGGGTTTTCTGTATTCTTCATTCACAGAACACGCTTTATGGTATGTGGGTGTATTGAAAGGGTTCTTTTTTGTATCTCAGCCTGCTACTTTTTTCCATATATTTGCCACTTAAAATAGCAGTAGTCCTGAATATGATCTGCCAGCTCTAGCTTAGCTGTGCTGCATTGCTTTTGAATAAGTTGAAACCCATTTGCATGATTCAGACCTTATGATGTCCTATACAGTTTGCACAGAAAACATGCTCAGTAACAAACTAATCTGCCTAGGTTGTTTTGATGTTGTTCATTGCTTTTCTGAGGTACATCTTGAAAGAGAAAACCTTGTACTCTGAAATTCAGTGCATTGGTCTAGTTTTTTGTCATGCATGCACAACACAAATACAGAACCAGATGTAGACTTTGTCCATTGAATGAACAACTCAGTGCCATGTAGCATATTCTCTTTGAGGTCAGACATTGGAAGTTAGTTGCTTGGAAAACACTGTAAAATACTTACCACGAAACTAAGGAATGTGAATACTATCTAAATGTAATGTGCAGAGATCGAATGTATTGAAAGTTGTCTGCATACTGTTGCTGACTCAGTGCAGGAATTATAAAAGTAAGGTCACTGCCAGTTGATGGGAAATGTAGGTCTTGCCAAGTTTTCTCCAGTGACAGGTAATGTATAAATTACAGAATTTTCTGCATTAACTCTCCCATTTTTTTTCTCCTTGTGTTTATAAAATATATATGAACATATGTAAATATAT